GGGCCCTCTGTTCCCCTCAGAAGGGAATCGCCTACGACAATTACCCTCCTTTTTTTCTTAGCAGAGGCAGTCATAACTGCCTCACCCTAGGCAACCCCCTGGATGGACCTTCGTCTACATCCTCATTTGCCTGGCCCTCAAGTTCCAGGGCCCCATATCTGTTCTGTAAGGGCAACTGGGAAGGTGAGGGAGGCTGGGTGGGGGTTCGCCTGGCACCCCAAGCAGGGACCTGTTTCCATTCCCGCCGTCACTTAGGTCCCCTCCTTCTGCCTGGTGGCAAGAGGGCAGGGGATCCTCTGCTTCTTGTAAATGCTTCTTGAAGATGCTCCTCTGCATCTTCATAAGCAAGAGGATTAATAAATAAAAATTTATTTTTCTCCCTACTGAGCTGGTAACTTTTGTTGAACTTACAGAGATTTTAGAACTCCTCTTCTGTGAAATGTGTTTGAAAGTGGCCCACAAGTTGATAAGTTATCACAGCGATATGACAATAAACCTCCTTTCCTTAGGAAACCAGGCTAAAAACTGGAAGTAGCTTTGGGCTTAAAGTAGCGGTAAGGTTTTTATCCCTCATTCAAGAGCATATCTGTTACTGTCTTTCTAAACTAATAAAAAAGGAAATTACATTGCTTTTTATTTTGTGTCTGATCTGGCATTGCATTAAGTTAATGTCAAATAACGTTTGGTGACCACAAGAGGGGAAAAATGTTGTTGGCTGAGGGTGCAATCTTGATTATTGTATTCTTACAATATGCAATAAATTAGTGGCTGATCTATTTCTTATTCAGGGATCTCTTTATTTCAATAGTGAGTAAGTCTCAAACCATTTATTTCATAAATGAGGAATCATTCTTTAGTGGTCTACTTATAAAACACACGTGACCTTTTCATGTTTAGGGCTTTGCGTGTGCGTAAGAAGATGTCTGGAGAGAAGATGCCAGTGAAAATGATTGGTGACATACTGACAGCTCAGCTGCCACACATGCAGCCTTACATTCGGTTCTGTAGCTGCCAGCTCAATGGGGCAGCGCTTATCCAGCAGAAGACAGATGAAGTCCCTGAGTTCAAGGAGTTTGTTAAAGTAAGAGAAGCAGCAATCACTATGAATTTTGTACACTGTAAATTTAGCTCATCATTTTGCTAATTTGCAAAACATAGTCTCAAATAGTGCTTTATGTTGGGCCAGAATGAAGAGTCTTCAGACTTCAGCACTCATTGAAGGAATACATTTTTTCATTGAAGGAATACATTTTTTCAAACGGCTATAGCCATGAAATACTTGGTTTAATAATGGTTTTGCTGTAAAATGCTGGGACAGTAAGAAGAGGCCCTTCTCTTGTACAGGCAAGGCAGGTGAAGAATATGTTGTAGAAATACAAGAAATTCTACTGCACTGATACTGTTTGTGATCTAAGAACAGATTTAGCTGAGGCACGGTGTTCATTTGTTGCCTTACCTTTTCCTTTCTTGGAGGAGCTCATTTTGCAGGATTTTAAACAAACTGACTAACACCATTTTACCTCTCTAATATTTCAGAGGTTAGCAATGGATCCTCGCTGTAAAGGAATGCCGCTATCAAGTTTTCTACTAAAGCCTATGCAACGGGTAACAAGATACCCACTAATAATTAAAAATGTACGTTCTTTTGCAAAGATGATGTGTTGATGCTGCTTTGCTTATAGCTTAATTACAGGGTAGTTTCCCTATTTGTGTCAAGCTTTGTCCCGGTTAGATTGCTGATGTGCTAGGGAATGTGGGATATCCTTTCCTATTTGATCACACTAGAGCAAATGCGGTAACTCATTTGGCTTCAGTGAAATGACTCTGTATTTCCATTAGAAACAGAGGTGAAACTTGCACACAAAGAACCAGAAGGCAGTAAATGCTGAATGAAAACTATAAAATTCAGATAACAGGAGTAACGGGTCAATCTTATGCTCATCTTTGCCTTTTCCCACAGTGTCATTCCCTCCCCATAGTCTGGTAAATAACGTTCAGTGTGCAAGCCTGAATGCCAAATTGTTTCAAGTTACCTTACTGCGCAGCTTACATTGCTGGATAACTTACAACCCTTTCCTAACTTTCATTTGTTGCCTAACGCTTACCATCCTGAATAATGCTATTGAACTTGGCCCAAGACTTTCGCAAGAAAGAATTATAAATTGGATGTTGGCATTTAAGAGATTCCTTAAACAGTCATGGATATATTTCTGTATATGGCTGGAATTTGCATACTTACGTTGGAAGAGCAAGCAGTGTACTGATGCAAAGGCTCTGCAGGCAGGCATTCATTTCAGCTGTTCACAAACAGACTGCGAGTTTGTCTCCTATTTTTCATGTTTGTCAAGGAGGAAAAGAAATTTGGAACATACTGGCTGGCTCTGATGAAAATAAAGAAATAAAACAGGAGTATAGGGCTGACAATATGAATACCTTTTAACTGCAGATAACAGAAAAGGCTAATGTATTTTATTTATCTGTAGATAATAGAAAACACTCCCGAAAACCACCCTGACCACAGTCACTTGAAGCATGCTCTTGAGAAAGCAGAAGAATTATGTTCTCAAGTAAATGAAGGCGTGCGGGAGAAGGAGAATTCAGATAGGTTGGAGTGGATCCAGGCTCACGTTCAGTGTGAAGGCCTGTCAGAGGTAAACAAAGTGCTATCTAGAGTAACACAAATGTGGGCGCACTTCTCCACCGGTCGGGAAGAAACCATGGCTCACTTATGGCACTGCATCAGGGGACAAACAGTATAGTTAATCGAGTCTCATAATCTTCAATCACTTGTTTTCATCTTTCTTTGGCTCCCTGTCACTCCTGCATGTAATCCTTTTTGCTGCTCGTGTTATTGCCTTCTATATGATAAATGCTGCTTTTGTTGCCTGCCTCTGGACCTGTGCCAGGTTCAGTGCTGCAATTTTCAACCACGACTTTCTGGTTTCATAGCTCTTTATAATACAGTGGTTATTGTACTGCTGTATCTCATCCTGAAGCTATACCTGACCATCCTGGAGTGCTTTAAAATTCATCACAGAAAATACTTGTTGTGATAAAACTTTGTATACATTTTGAAAACTCAAGAATACTGATCAAGCCTCTCTCAAGACTTTACAGAGAGAATCACTGCCTCCCATTACATACTATTTTTTAAGGTAACATGCTAAGTTTCTCTGCTGAAACTATAATGAAAATATTGTGTCAGTATGTCCTGCAAAAGGATGGAGGATATTTTGATGGCCTCCCTATTATTGGTGAAGGTAATAGAGGCAGACAGATCACAACTTGATTTTCAAAGTATGCATTGATTTTTCAGTTCTAGAAGATATAAAAGTAATAAGCACTGGTTGGTTTATGAACTGGAAAACATTGCATTTCATCTAATGAAATCTAACTGTTTCAGGGGAGGACAGATATGACAATTTCAGAAGGATCAAAGTCACGTTCAGGTGTCTTATAACTACTGCCTGAAGGAAGGTGGCTGCTTTTATCTTCCGTACATGATGTCTGGCCCTAGAACACCAGAAATTTTACCTGAAAGACCAACTGGCTGCTTGCTGACATGGTAACGCCAGTAGCAGCCTTGAATCTGTGGCAAGGAGTGGTCCGACCTTTCCCCAGTTTTCTGGCTGAGACATTTCTAATCTGTAAAAGGAGCCGCTCCAGATTTAGCTGCCCAGCCAACTAGGATGGCAAGAACCGTACCATCACCTAGTGAAAATAAACCTGAAAATGACACTTTAGGAAAGGGCAAGCCTCTACTCAGCTGTTAACAACCTCCAGATGAGTCTTAAGTTCTGCCAGTTCCAGCCACTGGTCAGCAGCTGACTTCTAACTCCAGGTATCATGGGTACACACGGACAGGTTATTTGGCAGTCCTTTGGTATGTTTTAATGGGTGAAATTCAAACACAGTTCAGAAGTCCAGGCCTTGTTAAGAACGCTCAGTGTTTGGAGAGGCCATTTGCATAACTACTGCTAATCCAGGACAAGTCATCATCAGCTCAGTTCCACTCAGAGATGCATGTGCGTGGCAGAGAAACTCGAAAGGAGGCACAAATGCTTTTGGCTTCTCTCTGTCTGTCCAGGCCATGCCCTGTGCAACTGATGGGCTGCCTTAAAGTTAATTTTCATGTAGCCTTTCTGTGACTTGCACTGCTTATCGTGCGCAAGGCAGAGACATTGCTCATCATCCCTGTGACACAAATTGAAACCAATGTCAGGACTCAAAACTATATTTGATCTCTTTCAGGGGAACCTCGATTGTTTTACTTTATACAGTGCGTTGTTGTTCTTCTTCTACTTTTCGCAGCAACTCGTATTTAATTCTGTTACAAACTGCTTGGGACCACGCAAGTTTCTGCACAGTGGGAAACTCTATAAAGCCAAGAGTAACAAGGAACTGTATGGCTTTCTGTTCAACGATTTCCTCCTCCTGACTCAGATCATAAAACCTCTTGGCTCTTCTGGCACAGACAAGGTCTTCAGCCCCAAGTCTAATCTGCAATACAAAATGTACAAAACTGTAAGTACCGCTCTTAAACGGTGACTAAGGTGGTTATATGCTGACAGTGCGTATAGCAGGCAGCAGTTCCCGTACTGGGTGTGTGGGCAATAGCCTTTATATAGAAGAGGTTTGAAAGCTTTGGCATATGCTGGGGATTCCAGAGACTGATGGGGAGAAAGCTGGTTGTTTGCTTTAGCAAGATAAGAAAAGATGCTTTTGAAGTTCTGCCAAAACAACCTCTTCGACAGAGGTCACGTGTATCAGGGAGTGATGGGGAGAGTAGTGTTTGCTGCTCTTTGTGGGAAAGGAGAGATTGCTATGCTTCATGGCGCTGCTTGCTTACGTCAGGAGAAGTGTTCCCAGACTCTGGAGGCACCTATATCTTTGATAATAAGAAAATTTTTAAAAATGACATATCTGAAGAAAGATGGGAGGCAGGCAGAAGGGGGAAGGTACTGCAGGCACAAGATAAATCTGTTGTAAATTGCTCGGTGTTGAATGCATCTGTTTGGATATTGTGCGGTAGAACTCTAGCTTTGCCTAATGTTTTACAGCCCATTTTTCTAAATGAGGTACTAGTAAAATTACCCACAGACCCTTCTGGAGATGAGCCCATCTTCCATATCTCCCACATTGATAGAGTCTATACACTCCGGGCTGAAAGCATTAATGAAAGGTAAGTACTTGCATAGGCCATGTTAGTACTGAATTTGAAAAGTCTGGTGCAAATGTATATGGTGTACACATGCATAGCAGTCTCCAAGCAGTTTATCTTACAAGACTGGTGAATTCCTTCTGCTTGAGAATACGGTGATAATATATGAAAAGGAGGAAGAAATAATGATGTTTCCTGAATTCCGATAAGACCAACAGTGAAATGGCTAGGTGGGCTGATATATAGGCTGTGTTTCGCAACATTTTATGCTAGCTTAAGGAAGCCAAAAGATGCAATCCTATCTTCTTCTGTTAACATCTGTTTGTCTGTGCCAGTGCAAGCATTTGTATGGCTGTATGTTGAATGAGATTGAGGAACAGGTAAGAATTAGAACTTGAAGCAAAAACCTCCCAAACTAAACCCAGTTAGTTTTAATCTGGTTCAGTTCAGACTGAAACAGTCAAAGGAACGGCAACCTCAAAACCTCAGCTGATGATTTTTATCTCTGGCAAGCTTACAGAGACAGGATTACACTGACTTCTACTGTGAAAAGGTTTCTCTACACAAATGTAAGATCTTGAAAGATAACTTTTGTTAAAAAATGAAAGCTGAAAGTGCAGCAAACCCCTCCCTCATAGTATAGACATTGTGTTACGCCAGGTTGCAAATGTATGGCCCCTAAAAATTCTGATGCATAAAAATGTATAAAACATCTTTGCTCCCTGCCTCCCTGACAGTGTTATTCATTATTATTTACACACATAGTTTTTCTTGCAAAAGATTGTACTTTTATGGATCCCATTTGTCCTTTGGGATGCTGTCTGTCCCTCTATGCCACAGAATGAACGAGCATCGTGGTTAGACCCTTGGGGATGAAAACTGACACAGCCTTTTCAACTTAGGATCTGTTGCACAAATCAGACAATAGCAATAATCATCTGTTCTGCGTCAAAGCACTCACAGCAGTAGTCAGAAACATCTAAACTCTGCACCGCATTCATCCTACCTAGCTCGAGGAACTTCAGCGAGATGCTTAGGCACGCTACGCTGAAACGTCCGTGGAAGGAGCCAGATCTTCACATACTGAACGCCCTCTGGAGGTGCCTACCTCTCTCCACTCGCTATAGAGAGAACCCACGGGAACTGCTATTCAAATTTGGACGCTCTAGTCAAATGCCGTTACTTATATGGGATACAGCCTTTGACTTCTTTTATGCCAGAATTGCTTACTAAATAAATGCAGCATTTTAGGTGAGAGACCTCCAGGTTTTCATCATTCACTTGCTTTTAACTAAGAGCAACAGAAATAAAACATTAGCATCAATGAGTGATTAATTTGCCCATTTAATCTTAAAAGACCTTTATGATCAAAGGCTTGGTATACTTCTGAAGCTGCCGTTTACCATTTAGGGCTGAGCTGGAAGGCAGAATTGTCCTTAAGTGTTTTGTTTTCTTGAACAGCTCTCTGTGCAGAATACAGGTGAGTGTTCAGACCCAAATGCAGGCCAATGTAAGTAGCTGCAATGCCCTGTAGAGCAGCAGCTCTTCATTTTGGCATCAGAAATGGCTCCACAACTTCTAGATTCTCTCATTTTGCCTTGGCTCAGGCCTCAGGCTCCCTTGTATGTCACAGCAATTCTTCTAAACCCTTAAGGTCCCTTGGTACCCCTTCTTCCACGATTTTTCTCTGTCCATCTTTCCACTCAGTCCCGTAAGTATGAAATGATTTCCCAGAAAGGCCCGTTGGGAACCACGATCATTCATCATCTGTGTACTCCGTGAGTTATGTTTCATGTGTCCCGAGGCGCAGAAGGATTTTGGTATGAAACCTCAGGGGTCAAGAAAAGTGGCCCCCTCTGCAGCATAGCTGTCTTGTATCTACTGGCTACAAGTTAGTTTATTACAATAAAGCAAAAGGCTTGGTGAAAGCAAACCTGTTATCTATACTTTTTGGGTTGTCGCCAAGTCCTTCCTGCTTGTGATTCTCTTGAGCTTTCTTTGTGTGGTGGGATCTGCTAGCTTGGGATGATTAAATTTCTGCAGGTGCTATAGATTCCAGTAAGATCTCTTCTAGGCAGATAGCTTCAGTGGAGCAGAGCCTGTGATGGGGCCAGAGCCTTGGCTGGGAAGGAGGGACAGCTTTACTTTTGTCTGCTGTGCTCCAGGGAGGAAAAATGGAAATGGTATTTTGCAACTTTTTTTTCCTTTCCTTCTGAAGGACTGCCTGGGTTCAGAAGATCAAAGCTGCTTCAGAACTTTACATAGAGACTGAAAAGAAGAAGAGGGAAAAGGCCTACTTAGGTACAGCATGGGATGCAGGGGTCTCATCTTTTGTGGAAAAGTCCACGGGCAGGAAAATATGTTAATGACTTTTCTCTCTCCCCTTCTGTTTCACGACAGTTCGCTCGCAAAGAGCAACAGGCATTGGGAGGTTGATGGTGAATATTGTTGAAGGCATTGAACTAAAACCTTGCAGGTCCCATGGTAAGTGCCTTGGGTTTTTCATAATATACTCTATGAAGAAGACATTCCTATTTGTCAGACTAACTTTGAAGGAGGTTCCATCCAAAACATGGTTTTGTTTAATGAAGCAGTTTTAATGAACTTAGAATATGCGGAAGTGATTTTGTGCAGTTCAGTAGTAGTCATGCAGTTTTCCTGCATTAAGCATGTGTTTCAGACAAACTTAGTTTCCACCACATAAGCCGTATCATAGGAGAACGTAAGGCACAAAGTCCTGCAATGAAGAGTGGAAGGTGCTTAGCGCCTTGCAGAACTGTGTCCCTGTTCATTATAATGGCAGTGAGGCCACAGGTTTTCCCCCGTCTGTTGGCTGTAGGAGTAAAAGGTTATTTAGGAGGAAGATCACACACCTAAAACGCAATTATTCTTTTCTGTTTGTTTCCATCTTCCCAGGAAAGAGTAACCCGTACTGCGAGGTGACGATGGGCTCGCAGTGCCACATTACCAAAACGATACAGGACACCCTCAACCCAAAGTGGAACTCCAACTGCCAGTTCTTTATCAAAGACCTCGAGCAGGACGTGCTCTGCATTACGGTGTTCGAGAGGGACCAGTTCTCCCCAGATGGTACGTAGGGGGACTGCCGCCCTTCCAAGGGTATTTTCAAATCTCCCATTTTGAAGAGGTGCAAGCCTGCTGAGGTGAATCATAGAATCAGAGAATGGTTTGGGTTGGAAGGGACCTTTAAAGATCATCTAGTTCCAACCCCGATATTGAATCCCTTTGCATATTGGGAGCCTACTCACCCTTGCTCCCCAGCGGAGTCACGCTAGTATCAGTGCAAAAAGAATCAAACTCTCTGTTTTTTTGAGGGTTTCCTTTCTTGTCCAACTTGACAACAACTAAAGTGCAGTTTGCAATTCTGCTAAGTCTTTAAAAAACTCTGGATGATGATTGCAAATGGATAGATTAATGCAGGAGGAGGAGAAATGTCCTCAAGTTCCTGTAATATGCAATAACAGTGGCAGAAATGAACCCAGGATTCCTAACCCATTCTTATTTCATAACCTGGGATAAACATATGGAAGTATTTGGATAGGACTGTCATTCATGTGGCCAGCGCCAGTTGTCCCATTGACCTCGTCGCTAGTGTGGTGCACTGCTTGGCTCTATCATCTCCAGAGGGCTTCACACTTAGTTTGAACTGTGCAGCAGCCTTTGGCCTTTTTTCTAACATATCATAAAATAGTAAGCTACTGAAGCAAGGCAGCTGTGAATTACATAGTGGATTTTTCCGCTTATGGGACCATTTACTTTTAATGCTGCTGCTGTCTAATATGGTCTAGCTAAAATCCTCTTCTATGCAGATTGGCAGCCTTTGGCCTTCTTCAACTGCAGAAATATAGTTGGGCTGAAGACTTGTTTTCTCCTTTTGTTGTGTGTAGATGGAAGCTTCGTTCCTTCTGCAGATTAGCATTTTACTGCAACGTAAAACAGTTGTGTCATTTCTGAGCATGCTGTCTTTTTGCATTTCAGACTTTTTGGGCAGAACAGAGATCCGTGTGGCAGACATTAAGAAGGATCAGGGTTCAAAGGGACCAGTTACAAAGTGTCTCCTTCTGCATGAAGTCCCAACAGGAGAGATAGTCGTCCGACTAGACCTGCAATTGTTCGATGAGCCTTAGAAGGAAAGGGACCAATGTTTTATTTCGGTTCACTGCAATAGGTGTCTGCAGAAGCTGTCACAAAATCCGTATTGGTGTGGTATGAAACTACTGCTTGCCCTTCACACGTAAGAGGGTTATCAAAGCAAACAGGAGCATCTTTGTGCCTTGATAATTCTCACTGAAAAATGAATCCCAATTTAGTGAGGAGATCTCCCTCGATTTCTCTATGTGGAACTTGACGTTAGTTTCCTGGGTTTATGAAATAACCTAGTTGTTCGTTGTGCTCCAGTCTGAAAGGCTGGCAAACCACATAGGTTGCTGTGCTTGCTCCGGTTACCCTACTCTTTAATTTACATGAAGAAGGCAATGTTGGTATGTTTTGGAGGCTTTCTGCAGGGTTTTCCCCCTTAAGGAATTCTGTGCCTATTGCTCAGCGAAGTGGTGTGTAAATGTAAGGTGAACGGAAGGAGCGGTTACGCAGCAAGAAGATCTCTGAAGATCTTCATGATGGTACTGAAAAGACTTAGAAAATAAATAGTCTATATCTATAAACAGAGAAGATTCTATTAACATACCACTTCATGACTCACATTGCCCCTGAAAATAAATTTTGTACAGGCCTTCTGCACAGAGATGAATTGCACTCCGCAAGAGTCCACCCACTCGGTACCTTTGGAAGTTGCTGTTTTCTATAGGACTGAAAATGTTCGAACAGGAAGCGAAGGATTAAACATAGAGCCCTGCTGTAAGTTGTACTATACCACTCCGATACTCCTTTACTACTGCTGCTTGATTGTGTGCCCGCAGATGGAAGATCTGTCACCTGCGCTGGGGAAGAAAAAAAATCACGGCTCTAGCTCAGGAAGCTAATTTCTACCCCGCAGAGTCTAGCTTGCAAAGCAATCAGTGGTGACCAGTTATTAAATTGTACCGTGCCGAACTGTGTTTGACATCGTGTTACTGAATTCAGGGCAGCAGCATACTGTAGCTCACAAAGGTGTTTGTGGCGAGCCAGGGTGATAGCAGGTTCGGTGGCAGTGATCCTGGACGCGACCAGAAACAGAGTGCTCGTGATGGTGCAGAGTGGGTAACCCCAAAGTAAAAGCCTTGTCATCTGCGGGAATGCCAGGGCTTGTATATCCATTTAACTCTACGAACACGCACGTATAGGCCCACATCCCGCAAACTTTCCCTGTTTGGCAAAGCACCCAGCTTTAAGCGTGCACTTACGTCTTGTTTCCCTTAAGCACATGCGTAAGTGCTTTGCTGAGTCTGGACTTGAGAGAGGATAGACCCCTAAGAGTAAAATTCCTCTTTGTTCTGCTTGGGTTCATTTTGTTCATGACCTATCATGCATACACTGGTATTTTTGTAAGGACTTTATTTCCGAATGGGAGGTGTCGGCCCGTTTCATTAGCATGTGAACGTTCTTGTGGAGCCTGTTGTTAGGTTTTGGTGTTCCTTGCATGTCCTTTCAGTACTGGTTTCCACCTTTCCTGTATAGGCGGTGTTCTCTAGCACTACAAGTCTTATCGATTTCCAGTAGGAAATTAGGATACATTCATAACGGATAGGTAGATACAGTATGGTAATAAGTGTAAACTGTGCTGGGAAGTGTCTGTGTATTATAATTTCCTATAAGACCACTGTAATGTTTCAAGCAATGGGAAAAAAAAATGTATGTGGAGGGACAACAAAGTTTACATTTCATACTTTTCAGAATCGCTTTATTATTTATTTATTGAAGATAGTGTAGAATTTTGTATCAGAAATGACAGACATACTTATGTATTTTTTGAAACAAAACAGAGATACACACTTTAGTTAGGTATGTTGGAGACAACAAAGTTTACATTTCATACTTTTCAGAATCGCTTTATTATTTATTTATTGAAGATAGTGTAGAATTTTGTATCAGAAATGACAGACATACTTATGTATTTTTTGAAACAAAACAGAGATACACACTTTAGTTAGAAACTTTCAACTGACCACATTTTAGAGGGAGTGTAACTTCCTAGGCATGCATTTGTTTACCACTAACTGGCTGAAAACATGATTAAGAGAACTTTAAGTTTCTATTTTTCAATGTTGTTAAGAAAATTGTTTCAATTAAAATATGTAAATAGTACTAAACCCATGCTTTCCTAATTCCATATCAATACATTTTATTAAATATAATGTATATGAAAATACACATTGTTGTGGTAGGATAAAAAAAGTGATAAAATCTATTAATGGAGTAACATTAAATGTCATTGTCTAACCTTTTATCGCTGTCCTAATTTTACTCGGTAGCTGTACATATGGTGAACGTTCATTTCAGTGTTTAAAAAGTAGCATCACTTTTTTATGGTATCATTTCACCAGCATGAATTACAGTAATGACTAAATAGACAAACAGGACAAAAAAAGACCGTGGGTGTAATGCAGAAATCTTGGCCAGGTTTTCGAAGGAAGCCTCAAGGAGCTGCACCTTCCTCTGAGACTCAACTGGTGTTGGAAGCGGGGGACCCTTAGCTTCAGGGGCTCCTCTCAGATTGTGACCCTTTGTCATGGGTATGTACGACTGCACCGTTTTGGGGAGTTGTAACAGAACTGAGCACCTTCCCGACCACCATCACTTGTGATTTCCCACTTAACCTCGACGTGCAGCAGCGTTTAACTCCCGTTAACGTCAATAGGAGTTACGCAAACATGATGATGATGAAAGGCTGGGGTTCGGCTCACGGATATCTAGTGAGTCCCTCATAATCGGCCTAATCCTGAAGAGGAAGCTTTTCCTAATCCCTGTGCATTGAGAACAGAATGTATATATACCCTTAGAGCCAGCCGACTGTGCATCGGGATGTCGCTATTTTCCCGCTTGCTTGCCCTCAGTGCTCTGTAGCGTATTGGCACTGTTGGCTTCCCAGGCAGAACGGCTTTTCACCAGGGTTAGTCAAAGGTTCGTAGAAACCCGTTGACTCCTGCCTGGTTTTCCCTGTTCAGGAATGCTACGGTCTTGCACATTGCTTTGCATTAACTCTGCGGCTGCGCGGGCTACGGGTTTCTGCTTTTCTACCCACCGTAGTTGCGTAGACCTCCTGCTCATCCAGGACTTCGTGCTGTAAAAGCTCAGGCCTTTTACTGAAAAAAGAGACTCGTTAGCTGTATTCCTACTAGTGCTTTTGTAGAGAAAACTGCAAGCTCTCATAGGCTTGTTTAAATACCACCTGTGTTCTGAAGCGTTTGGGGAAGGGAGAGGCACACGGCAATACCTGGGAAGTTAGGTATCTCTTTGTGAATTTAGAAAGTCAGCTGGCACTACCACAATGTATGAACGTCGAGCCATCCTCTTACGAGTGCCATGTGCTGGCTGTCAGGCCAAACTCTGCTAGTCTGTGCTACCGGTATTGAATACCTATATTCATGTAGACACCATTTTTCAGACACTGGTTATTGATCTCTAAATATCTTCGTAAAATAGCACGCCTTTGCTCACAGGTCCCTTTCCAGCCTCATCAAGATGTGTGTAAACTTTTCCTAATGTTATGCAAAACAACCACAACAACAAACAAAATCGAAGCCCAGATAACACTTGATCACATTTTGGATCAAAGCCCAGATAACACTTGATCACATTTTGGATTGAAAGAGCAGATTCATGCAGATAAGCATCCCCACTAAAACGCAGAGGTTGTAAACCTGTATATTGTGGAGTTCTGGGACTGGCTGTCTGCATTTCCTTTGGTAAAATTCATCCTTGTAGAGAGGCTGAGTACAAGCTCTCTCCGTTACTCGTCCTTAAAATGAGGCACCGGTGAGATTGAACTGGTACGTGGGCCACTGGGACTGGCCCTCGGGGTGGGGTTTCATCTCTACCTTTTAGCAGGCTCTACTTTTTTGGAGAAGACAATTTGCTTAGAAGCAATTCTTCAGCATTAAACTCCTCGGTTGGCAATCAAGCCTTTCTAAAAATAATACTGTGACTTTTTCATGCATTCACTGCCTTCGTTGAAACAGTGGCCTTGCTTTGGATAAACTGAGAGAAAAAAGCCCTAAGAGAAGAAAGAGCAAAATCTGCAGCTGTGAGAAAACATGCAATGGAAAAAGTTGCACTGGTAGTTTGGTTGCCAAGCTGTAATTCTGGGAATTGCATTTTTCCCTTAGGTACATTAATTTTGACAAGAAGAATAGTGTTTCTGCCTAGTGCTTCCTTGTAGTAGAACTGAGTTAACAGGTCAGAAACTGGAAGGGAACAACAACCACTTTTAGAAATTATTAAAATTACTTTTGAAGGATGCTGGTAGCTGGGAACAGGCAGAATGTCAGCATTGTTGTGGCTGCAGACAGGACAGGATACTGAAGAGAAAGGAAAGGAATCTTTTTTTCTTTTCTTTTCTTTTTTTTTTTTTTTTGGGGGGTGGTTATTTTAAAATCAGATCCACAGTCTCACAGCAGAACTTCAATTATCCAGGACCCCAAGCATCCACAATATAACGACAGTGATTAATAACAAACCATGTGTTTGTCCTCAGCCTGGGAGAGCCACACTGGATTTAGTGCAGCTCTGTATTTATGCAGGAATTTGCATGCACTTTTTTATAGAAGCGGAGCTTTTCGGTGTTTGTAACAGCCTTTATACTCCTCTGTCCAGGAATTCCCGTCTGAGTTATGCCTCTGAGGTGCTCAGGCACCGTGTTGTTTCAAGATGCTTTCACAAGGACTTCATAGGCTTGTAAACATTGCTGTCGGGCTCCTTGCTTTCCTGGTGCCATCCAGGCAGCTCTTGCATCCATCCAGGAGGTACACGGGTACGTGCCCTTTCCATGCAGGGAATCGGCTGCACCAGCATCAATGTGCCAGTTTTCTGTCTCTCAGAGGACTTGTTCCCCCAGCCTATAGTCGCATGAGGTATTTGCCAGCAATGCCATTATACATCGGCAGGGTGGATGTCTGTCCTTTCACCCGTATGCCTCCCCATTTATGACCTCTCCGTCATTGCTCTGATTGCAGTAAGAATCAGCCTGGTCTTGTCGATCTGCCTCGAGAGCGTTTCCTCCCTGTGGACAGGAGTCAGCCCTTCTGAGATGCCTCTCGGGGAAACCACCTGAGCTCATTTTCCTCTGCGCTTGGTCAGATGTAGCTGGAAGTCATTACGTCCGGGGCAGGTTCAGCTCTCCCCCTTCAGAGGTCCAGCCTGCCACCTGAGCACGCATCCGTGCCGTCCTTCCCAGCAGTGCCAGGCTGGGAGCTCCCGCTTCCCACACTGCAAGTCTGCAGCCTCCGGTTCATTGCCGTTAGGGTTGGGGCTCATGTTTGAGATCACCCAGGTCCCCTCCCGGCCGCGATTTTCCCCACCTGCTAAGCCCGTTGGCTCCCTCCAAGCCAAGCACCGGCTGCGTTGCATGAACGAACGCAGCGGGTGACCGGAAAACACATCCCACTGCCTTGCTCCGTTTTGTGGTTTTTCTTCTGTGTACGTCTTGTGAGTAAACTGGTGCTTCTGTCCTGTAATTAATTAAGTCCTTTGGAAAGCATCGCTTTTGCCATCCCTTTATCCCCCCTGCTGATGCTCAGCTCTGTGAAACAGTGCTGTTTTAGGGACTCCTTTCCCGGCTTCTCCCTCACAGCTCATCTGGCAGCTGCCATTTCTGCCGCAGCCCTGCAGCCCCTGGCTCAACAAAGCACTTCAGCAGATGCTTAACTTTAATTCATGCCCCAATTCAGTGCAAAGGCGTACGTAAAGCCAGCCGGGTGCCTACATGCTTTGCTGGGGACGCGTGGAGGAATTTAAAAGGCTTCGATAATGTAGAGCCTACATTATGAACTTGGTTCAAGGTCTGTAAGGATTGAAAGATTGCAACAGAGCATCAAACAAGAAGTCAAGATTAAGATAAAACACAGAAGTAGTTTATAGTCTTTGCAGCTGGATCTGTTTTCTTATCTTCCCGAAAGTGGTTTTAGCCACTAAACTCAACAGAATTGTATTTACCCGGCAAATCATAATTCATATACTTACAGATTGCAACACATTTGGAAGCACTGTAAATCAAAAAACACTAGGCTGACCTGGCCTCGGAAATACCAAGTACCTTACCAAGTTTAGTGCTGGTAGAAAGCCAGTCTGTGAAGCCCTGAAAGTGGGCTGACTGGGGCACCTTGAAAGACAGCATGTCACTGAGCTGACGCTAAGCCAAATGACTGATAAATTACAGAACTTTTTCTAGATGCACTTACTTTATTATTATATATTTTCTCAACATGAGTTTTTATGAGGGAACTTTTTAAATGTTCATTTTAAAATTTTTTTACCCTTTAAAAATAAATAAATAAATCACTTTTTGTTACATGCGAGTAGGGTTGGGGAGAAAACGTTGTGGATAATGCAGTTTTTGTAATATTATTAAATACATTTTCAAAACTAAGATGTGACAAGTCCAGACTTTTACTGCAACAGTGGTGTCTGCTTCCATGCTGCTCCGTTTGCCACTGTGATAGCTCACTTTGTTCAAACCTAGCAGTCAAAACCCTTGAAACACAGAAAAGCTGGGAATCGGGTTAAATCACCTTAGCTTTGAGGGGTTTGCTCTGTACGTACATTCCACATGTATCCTCGCGTTTGTTTAGCCCAAACACTCTTGTCCTACATGCATATCGATGTATCTATAGTTAAATACATGCTTTTTTATATATATATATGTGTGATTATTTGTATATATAATATAAAAACACAGCTATGTTATCATTATCAAATAGTAAATCTAACAGAAAAGCATTTCTAGGCACCCAGTTTTGTTTGTTCATTTAAATATTTTAAAATAAGGACCGTCCTTGGGAAATTATTTTTCTGTACATAGGAGGATATATTTAGGACCTAATTTAAAAGCATAAAGAACTGCAGTAAGAATATGTTAAACTAGCCTAGTCGCTTGATATAGTTGTCAAAGGCTCTGTTGCCACCGTAGGTGAATTCCTTGCGCTGCTTGTAAAGCTGCCAAAGTGTCACTTACTTACCCTGGATTTAGCGGTCGGTTCTGGGATCTTAACATGTCGTGCAAGTGAAGGGAGCTGGTGCTTCGTCCGAGACTCCCCCTGTCAGACCTCCAGGCAGCAGCTCCTGCCCGCCGCGGTGAGCGCAGGTGAAAGGGAAGGCTGGGATGCGGGAGAGTAGGGGGAAAAGGGAAGAAATAGGGGCAGAGCTAAAAAGTAAGAGCTTGGTGAGCAGCAGCACCTCTGCCCACCCCCAAAAACGTGGGTGGGTGTCCATCAGGTGATGGATCGGAA